CTGGTAGTGCTAATCAGCCTCTTCATAAGATATTTTGCACATGGCCAAGACTTCACCTTGAAAAATAGATTGTGAAGAACATCAGTGACTCAGTATAGTTAGTCACACAGAGCAGAGCACAGGGGATCTGTGGAGGAGGGAAGGCTGGTTTAACAAAACTTCAACCCAGACTTATAGAAGTCTTAAGTGATGATGTCTCTGGAGAGTCTGTATTGATTTGACAGTTATAGCAAGGAAACAATAGTATCAGACTTAAGACTTGGAGTTTGACAAGTTTAAACATTTAATCTACCTTTTAGGGAATGACAATATGCTTCAGAATGTGAAGGGTACGAAAAAAGTCATCCAAGTAAAACACTAGCAAAAGAAAAGTCAAGTCCTCCTCCTACACACACACACACACACACACACACACACACACACACACACACACACACGCTCGTTTCATGCTTTATAGATCAGGCTCTTAGTCATATGAAAAGCTACTCAATCTCACTTTAATTCACTTTGAAATTAATTGCATCACAAAAATAATTAACACAAATGAAAACCATATTGAAATATGAATCTTCATCTGTTAGATTGGTTAAAAAAAAATTCAAACGTTGGACAACAATCACTGTTGACAAGACTTTGGAAAACAGAGACGCTGGTCTGTTACTGGTCATAGTGCAAAATGGATAAAACCTCTCTGGTGGGCAGCTTGACCACATTTATCACGCTGCATTTCCTCCTCCATCCCACAACCTTATTTTCAGGAACTTTATTCTCTGTAGATGTGTTATTTCTTGTGTGTGACTGTGAGTATAACTTACAAAACTCTTTATAACAGAATTGTAGCAGAATTTTTAGAAACAAAAGGGATTTGCTTTTTGAAAAAAAAAATGTGGTATGTCCACACAGTGGAATACTATGCAGATGTTTAAAGAAAATAAAAATAAAGATCTCTGTGTGCTGATATGGAAAGATCTCTAGGCAGTATGGTAAAGGTGGGGGAGTACAGAGTAGTGTGTTTAATGGCCTTTCTTTTGTGTGAAGAAATGGTAAGAAGTAGTATGTTTATATTACATGTTTTAGAGGGCTCCTGAAGAAACTGATAAAAGTGGTTATGTAAAGAGGATATGGGGGAGGAGGTGAGGTGGAAGTGAGACTTATCAATGTGTACTATACATAGTTTTGATTTTTGTGCCATGTGAGCATATGACCTGTTCTCCCCGAAGATATTTTTTAACTTCTGGAAAACACTCCCTCTAAGGAGAAGTCATTTGTTTTGAGAATTTTGAAAGATGTGTGCAAAGATTATGGCAGAGCAAGAGATAACTTTAGAGTAAAGAGAAATTGAAATCAGTTTTCCTAATATAGGAAATGTACTGTTCCAGGTATCTCTTAGTGGGTAAGAGAGCTGATAGCTGGACAGAAGCTAATGAAGGGACTAGAGCGGCTGTCCACTGTCTGCTGCATCTTGCATCCCCTTTGCCGACTGAAATTTTAGGAAATTGTGGGTGCCCACTGTGGGGTGCTGTGGGACAGAACTTGTGACCCAGAAAATAAATGGCTGTATTCATTCACCTCTCATGTTTTTCATTGTCTCACCTTCTCAAAGACTGCTGTAAAAAAGAACATTTCCTTTGTGTGTGTGTGTGTGTGTGTGTGTGTGTGTGTGTGTGTGTGGAGGTTTTCAGAAAATATGCAAAAGCAGAAGAGTATAAGGAACCCCCATATACCTGTCATTCTGGTTTCAATAATTGAAAACAATCTCACCTTTAAAAAAAAAAAACACAACTATCCTTCCTGCCTTTTCTTATTCCTGGAATATTTTAAAGCAAGCCTTATATCATTTTACCCAGAAATACTTCAGCATGTATCTTTAATAACTAAATAGAAAAAAATTTGACAGTATAGGCCACAGTGTCTTACTGTGAAACTTCATTTTATGTCCTGGGTTTTTTTAGAAAGGTTAAAGGAAACTTATCCTTCTCTGTGTTCATCTGTCTTTTCCTCTTCACTGGTATAATTTCCAGTCAACATACAAGAAAGGTTGAGTATCTCCTGTGTTTAAAAATAAGACTTCCCTTACCTTACATTCCCCTCTAGCTGCTATTTCCTTTGAAACTGTACTTTTCAAAAAGCTATCTCCATTTCCTTGCCTTTAACTTCTCAGCCAGTTCCAACCTGACTCCTGTCCCCACCGCTCACTCCATTAAAGCTGTTCTTGCTAAAGTCATCAGTGACTCACACATTAAATAAACCCAGTGACTCTGCAGTTTTCATCTTACTTGACATCTCAGCCACCTTCAACACTCACGAGCTCTCCCTCCTAATACAAGCAGTGAACACTGAGTAATTACTGGGTTCAGCTCTGTGTGTGAGTTCTCATTTCATTCTTTTTTTAAGCAATTTGTTTTACTAATGTAGAACTTTGTCTTAATCTTAATTCTGTAAAATTGTATTTGTTTGTTTATTTTGGGCTGTGCAGGGTCTTGGTTGCTGTGTGGGCTCCCTCTGGTTGTGGCAGGCAGAGCCTGCTCTCCCTTGCGGTGCGCGGACTTCTCAATGCAGTGGCCTCTCTCGTTGCAGAGCATGGGCTCTAGGGCGCCAGGGCTTCATTAGCTGTGTCTCTCGGGATCTAGACCCAGGCTCAGTAGTTGTGGCACAGGCTTAATTGCCACACAGCATGTGGGATCTTCCCGGCCAGGGATCAAACCCACGTCTCCTGCATTGGCAGGCGGATTCTTTACCACTGAGCCACCAGGGAAAGCTTCATTTAATCCTTTGACAGCTCTTTGAGTGAGGTGTTGTCATTATCCTCATTTTACAGATGGGAACTAGTTAAAGCTTAGAGAGGTTAACTCTCTAAAGTTAACTAACCTTAGAGTGGTCAGCTGCGGGTCGGGTAGAGCAGTTTTAAGTTCAGGCACCATCTCATCTGATGCCTGTTTGGAAGCACTTCACCTTACTATCCTGGGTCGTCTTCCTCTGTCTCAGTCTTACTATGTTTTCTTTGCAGCTCCTCCTTCTTCCTGATCTTTAGATTTCTGGCTTTTCGGGCTTTCATCCTGGGTCCTCCTCTTGGGCACACCCGTGGCTTCAGTTGCCATGTGCAGGGTCATGAGCTCCCGGTCTGTGTCCTTAGCGTAGAGCTGCTTCTGAACTCTGGACCCAGAGAGCCAGCTGCTCCTCGGCACATTGGGAACTTGACTCTGCTCCTCCTATTGTTGTTTCCTTTTTGGCCAGATGGTGCAGCCATCCACCAGCTGCCTAGCAGAAACCTGGGGTCCTCTCTTAGCTCTCCTAAACAGTCACCACGTCCTGTTTTATTGGGTCTAGTGTCTCTCATCTACCTCCCTAAGGAGACCCCCCACCCCCACTTGGGTAGGCTCCACCTGTTACACATTCTCGGGGTATCCTGCACTTGTCTTCCTCCCCTTTATAACATCTTCAGCAGTTACATTCACTTGCTTATGTTAGCTTTTTGTTTTCATCCCTTTAGACCAAACTTTAATTTTTAAATTCCTTTTAAAAGACATTAAGAGACAGGACCAAGACAACCTTATTTTTTATTCCATCCCCGGGGACTGGCAGAGTGCCAGGCACAGAATCATTAAATATTTGATGAATGAAAAGAGGAAGAAAAATTTGTTCTGGGAAAATCCCTAACATGAATGGGTACTCGGAAGGGTGAATTTCTGAAGACAGACTTGAAAACATTGGGACTTGCCTGGCATTCCAGTGGTTAGGACTCCGAGCTTTCACTGCAGGGCATCCAGCCTTGAATCCTGGTTGGGGAACTAAGATCCTGCATGCCACATGGTGTGGCCAAAAAGAAATTTTTTTTTTTGCTCTGATAGTCAAGCCATAGAAGGGAGCTAAGGAATTGGCATTACAGTTAAGAGAAATAGGGTATTTATTTTTGTTGTTCAGTCGCTTAGTTGTGTCCAACTCTTTGTGACCCCGTGGACTGCAGCATGCCAGGCTTCCCTGTCCTTCATTGTCTCCTGGAGTTTGCTCAAATTCATGTCCTAGGCAATATTGTTCTTTGCAGCACTGACTTTACTTTCACCACCAGACTCATGCACAACTGAGCATCATTTACATTTTGGCCCAGCTGCTTCATTCTTTCTGGAGCTATTAGTAATTACCCCCTGCTCTTCCCAGTAGCATATTGGACACCTTCCAACCTGGGGGGCTCATCTTCTGGTGTCATGTCATTTTGCCTTCTCATATAATTTGTGGGGTTCTCTTGGCAAGAATACTGTGGAGTGGGTTGCCATTGCCTCCTCCAGTGGACCACGTTTTGGCAGTACTCTTCACTATGACCCGTCCATCCTGGGTGGCCCTGCACAGCATGGCTCTTAGCTTCACTGAGTTACACAGGCCCCTTCATCACAGGGCTGTGATCCGTGAAAGGGAGGTTATTGGGGAAGTGGAAGTTGTGGGACTTTCTGACTGCTGTCATAATGTGGGAAGGAAGGGAAGAGGGTGTCAGGAATGCTGAAGGAATCATGATATGCCTTGAGAGGGTCAGGTATGAAGGGAAGAACAACGACGTAAGTTTTCAACCTGTTGACTTTCAAGAACCCTCTGTGGGATACCCACATGAAGAGAACCAATAGGCAGTTTAAAAAAAAAATGAAACTAGAATCCAGGAGAGACACGAGCTTTACTTTATTACTGGTAATTCACAAGGAAGGAGCTGGTAGATATTTTGGTACTTGGGAGTGGAAGCACCTGTGTGTATTATACCGAGACGGGATTTTTACATTGATACCATTGAATCCCCAGTGAAGGCTAACTAATAAAAACTCTGAATCTGTACATTTACTTTTTATGCTAAACTACCAGATCTGTGTTTCAGTTAATATTTTCTTCATGCCAATTTATACCTTTTTTCCTTCTTAGACAAAAATAAAACTTGGTGGAGTTTATAGAACTCCATTAGACTGTAAATTCCATTAGTTTGCTGCCATGTGTTAAATTTTTTTTCCTCTTTTTTTCTCTAGGGCCTATTCCCTGGTGGATTCCAGTCAAGTGTCTACTTTTCTGATTTCCATTCTACTTATAGTCTATGGTAGTTTCAGGTAAGATGCTCTCAAAATGGGATTGATTTCTGTTGGAGGTGGAAGGCGCGTTGTTCTGGGTATTGGGACCAGAATTTATTGCTTCTTTGAAGAGAAACATGACTTTAACAGGAATTGAGTTGAACAGGATAATTCTGATGTTTATTCTTTGGTTGGCTGTTATAACACTTCTTGGTTTTGCTTCTGGCTTTGGCATTTTAATGCAAATAAGTGAAAACTGATTGCTTAAATTCTGGTTCTGGGGGAAAAATGATTCACATTAAGTATATTCATTGAGAGAGTTAAGGAGAGAGTCCTTGAGAGTGATTCTGCAGTGTCTCAAAGGGACAGAATGTTCTTCTTAATTAAAAAAAAAAAAAAAGGCATTGACCTGTGTTGAGCCATATATGAAATTGCCAATAGATAGTCAGCTTTTTTGACATACATATGTAATTTCATAAGGTTCAGGCTACTATTACAAGAATTGTGCACAGTTGCGTTTACCAAGTATCCTCTGTGCTGACCTTAGGAATGCTGAGACTGGATCTTCTTGAAGTTCCCATCCTAGCAGACAGCCATAGAAATACAAAGATAAGGAAGCTAGATACTCACTCCCTTCTTCTTTTCACAATTCTTACTTTAGAGAAATCTTAGTGGTTGTATAACTGATAGTTTTGTGGTGGATACATTTAAGAATGAAGGCTGCCTGGGAAATTTTAAATTGAGAACTTGAAAGGGAGCAGCAGTGATAAAGGAAATAAGCTTAAGGTTTTGAATTAGCCAGTATTATATTTGGATTTTAATGAGTATTTGGTAAAATCACAGACTTCCAGACTTTATCTCAGCATTGAGTAGAACAAGTAAAATACTGTTGATAATTTCAGTATCAGTTGATAAATGTTTCACTCATTGAGACTTCTGCTGAGAATCCTAGGTTCCTAGCCACCCTTAGGAAGCGTCAGTCAAGCCAGAGCAGCTTAGAACCTCATCAGCATGATCCTGTACTTTTTGTTATCTCTGTGCTTTAGACAAATTTTTGTTTTTTTTCTTCTTGAGTATATAATAACATTTCAGAAGTTGTTATAATTTAAAAAAAAAATTTAGACTCACAGCTCTGAAACTCCTTTTGTTAGTTCAAATGACATTTTATTTGGCATGTACTTATATACTAAGCAGTCCCCAACCTTTTCGGCACCAGGGACCAGTTTCATAGAGGACAATTTTCCCACAGACCTTGGCAGAGTGAGGGGGCTGAGGGTGGTTTCTGGATGGTTCTCATAAGGAGCATGCAGCCTGTATCATTCAGATGCACAGTTCACAATAAGTTTTGCACTTCTACGAGAATCTAATGCTGCCACTGACCAGACAGGAGGCGGAGCTCAGGCGGTAATGGGAGTGATGACCTAGTGCAGCCAGAAAAAAAATCTTTTCATGGTAGCAGAAACAAAAACTGCAGTAGTCAGTGAGTAAAACTGCTAGAGTGATTTCCTTGATTCTTGCTTTAATGTAAACGAGGGATAGCTGAATGAAGAACTGACCTATTACTTATTTGGACCTGGATTGCTTGATGAAAATACAGGGAATTCATTCGGGCACAGCCAGCTGGTACCCTGTTGTTGTTCAGTCAGTCAGTCATGTCCGACTCTTTGCAACCTCATGGACTTCAGCACGCCAGGCTTACCTGTCCTTCCCCATCTCCTGGAGCTTGCTCAGACTCATGTCTGTTGAGTCAGTGACGCCATCCAACCATCTCATCCTCTGTCGTCCCCTTCTCCTCTCGCCTTCAATCTTTCCTAGCATCAGGGTCTTTTCCAGTGAGTCAGTTCTTCACATCAGTTGGCCAAAGTACTGGAGTTTCAGTTTCAGCATCAGTCCTTCTAATGAATATTCAGGACTGATTTCTTTAGGATTGACTGGTTGGATCTCCTTGCAGTCCAAGGGACTCACCAGAGTCTTCTCCAACACCACAGTTCAAAAGCATCAATTCTTTGGTGCTCAGCTTTCATTATGTCCAACTCTCACATCCCTACATGACTACTGAAAAAACCATAGCTTTGACTAGATGGACCTTTGTTGGCAAAGTAATGTCTCTGCTTTATATGCTGTCTAGGTTGGTCATAGCTTTTCTTCCAAGGAGCAAGCATCTTTTAATTTCATGGCTGCAGTCACCATCTGCAGTGATTTTGGAGCCCAAGAAAATAAAGTCTGCCACTGTTTCCATTGTTTCCCCATCTATTTGCCATGAAGTGATGGAACCAGATGCTATATCTTCTTTTTTTGAATGTTGAGCTTTAAGCCAACTTTTTCATTCTCCTCTTTCACTTTCATCAAGAGGCTCTTTAGCTCCTCTTAGCTTTCTGCCACTAGGGTGGTCATCTGCATATCTGAGGTTATTCATATTTCTTCTGGCAATCTTGATTCCAGCTTGTGGAATCATTCAACCTGGCATTTCACATGATGTACTCTGTATATAAGTTATACAGGCAGGGTGACAGTATATACCTTTGATGTACTCCTTTCCCAATTTGGAGCCAGTCCATTGTTCCATGTCCAGTTCTAACTATTGCTTCTTGACCTGCATTATAGGTTTCTCAGGAGGCAGGTCAGGTGGTCTGGTATTCCCATATCTTGAAGAATTTTCCACAGTTTGATGTGATCCACACAAACAAAGGCTTTAGAATACTCAGTGAAGCAGAAGTAGATGTTTTTTTGGAATTCTCTTTTTCTATGATCCAGTGGATCTCTGGTTCCTCTGCCTTTTCTAAATCCAGCTTCAACATCTGGAAGTTCTCAGTTCATGTACTGTTGAAGCCTAGCTTGGAGAATTTTGAGCATTACTTTGCTAGCGTGTGAAATGAGTGCCATTGTGCGGTGGTTTGAACATTCTTTGACGTTGCCTTTCTTTGGGACTGGAATGAAAATTGACCTTTTCCAGTCCTGTGGCCACTGCTGAGTTTTCCAAATTTGCTGGCATTATTGAGTGCAGCACTTTCACAGCATCATCCTTTAGGATTTGCAGTTGCTCAGCTGGAATTCCATTACCTCTGCTAGCTTTGTTCGTAGTGATGCTTCCTAAGGCCCACTTGACTTCAGACTCCAGGATGTCTGGCTCTAGGTGAGTGATCACACAATCATGGTTATCTGGGTCATTAAGATCTTTTTGTATAGTTCTTCTGGGTATCCTAGGGTGCTAAATGATGCTTACTAGTCCATCTTGCTGTCTGACTTCTGCTGTTTCTACCAGTTTGGATGCTTCTCAGATGTTGTGAGTGACTTCTGTTTGTTACTCTGAGGGGGTCGTTTAGAGATGTATGATTGTAATTGGCTACTAGAAATTTTTTTGGTTAGACATTGACTTTATAAAGAAACCTGATGAAGAAAATAGCTAATGTTTTACTGAACATTTATGTTCCACATACAGTGCTAAATGCTTTACCTAAAGTCTCATTTAATCCTTATATCAAGTCAACAGAATAGATACTGTTATTCCCACTTTATAAATGAGGAAACTAGGGCCCAGAAATGTTATGTAGCTCACCCAAGTATTAAGTGATGAAGCTGGGATTTAAACTCAGGCAGTATTCTACTGCTGCTGGCTATTGAGAACAATACCATTTCATTTGTGAAGCAAATAAGTTGATCTGATAGTAAAGTCAGAAGAAATGAGAAGTTTCTTAAAAACCCCTTTTTGTGATTTTTTTTTTTCTTCAGTGGTTCTCCGACTGTAAGAATCAGCTGGGGAAGGTTGTTCGGTAGGCTTAGGATGGGAGCACTGTACTCCAGCCTCTTTCAGGTGACCTGCACACTGGATAAACTCTTTCCTTTATTGCGCATTGTTGGCTCTTCACTGCTGGTGGCACTCTATGGACCCACCCTTTGGTACATTTGTAACCTTTTACAGTTCTATTGAAGCTCTCCTGAGGTTCTCAGAGTCTCCATTTTTTGCCAAGTCAAAAACGTTTCCTCTCAGTCTTCATCCTTGCTAAGCCTTGATGGTTTTACCACCACTTCTTACTGCAGATTTCTCCTCCCTTGGCCTCTGCTTTCATGTGGCCTTCCATATAGGACTTGCACAAGAAATGCCTCTTGAATTTGATTAGCCCTATCCCTGTTGTCTCTCCCGATGACCAGCCAAATGTTCTTACCTCTTCTGATTTAGGACCATAAAAAATACATTATTTGCTTATTTAAATAATACATTTTATTTAGAGCTCTGAAGACATGGAGAAAATCATAAAACACAAGGTGAAAGGTTTGTGCACTGTACTGGTTATTTTCCCCCAGGCTTTCACATTGCTAAGTACAGAGGGGAGAACTGTGCCAAATAAAACTAGATTTTAAAGCCCCAAACAAATCCTCAATCTAAGAGCCCTTATATTTGCCATCCCTTGGCTGAGCTCTGCTTGCTAGACTTTCTGTGTTACTTAAAGATGACATCTGATCTCCTTAATCTTTCCAGCTGCTCAGGGGGAGAAAATAGCATAATTACTCATGTAATAAGTATTTCCCCACAGCCTTTGACAAACCAACAGGAAAACATTAATGGAGGGGCAGGGGAGGTGAAAGGGGCCATTCAGATGGGCAGAGGGACTCAGGAATCACAGTATGAGATAGTTTAGAATTTTTTTAGGCAGCTTATTACTGTTACGACACTTGAGTTCTATCCCCACAGGAATCACAGACAAAAGAACAGCAGGTTTGAAGTAGATCTAAAAGGAAATCAAAAGGAAGATATACTTTATAATTGATAAAAAGGTAATACATAAATATAATACAGATGCATCTCTTTATGTAAAGTTACTATATAAGGGAACAATGGAACTTTATTATAGAGTAACTACTACCTTTTTTTAAGGCAAGCACCTCCCTGTGCTTTCTTTCATTTCGAGGATAGTTTATTTGCTTATACCCAAACCTACTCTAGGAAGACAGTGCAGAGATGATAAGGAATGTACTTTATATGATTTTTTTACCTTCATACCAAATGCATGTAACTATAAAGTTAGACCAGGTTAACCAAAATAAGTCTTATTATGGTTCACAAACCAGCTCACCATGAGCCATGCTGTGTAGGGCCACCCAAGATGGACGGGGTGGGGTCATGGTAGAGAGTTCTGACAAAACGTGGTCCACTGGAAAGGGGAATGGCAAACCACCTCAGTATTCTTGCCTTGAGAGCCCCATGAACACTATGAAAAGGCAAAAAGATAGGACACTGAAAGATGAACTCCCCGGGTCGGTAGATGCACAATATGCTACTGGAGATCAGTGGAGAAATAACTCCAGAAAGAATGAAGAGACGGAGCCAAAGCAAAAACAACACTCAGCTGTGGGTGTGACTGGTGATGGAAGTAAAGTCCGATGCTGTAAAGAGCAGTATTGCATAGGAACCTGGAATGTTAAGTCCATGAATCAAGGCAAATTGAAAGTGATCAAACAGGAGATGTCAAGAGTGAACATCAACATTTTAGGAATCAGCGAACTAAAGTGGACTGGAATGGGTGAATTTAACTCAGCTGACCATTATATCTACTACGGTGGGCAAGAATCCCTTAGAAGAAATGGAGTAGCCATCATAGTCAACAAACGAGTCCGAAATGCAGTACTTGGATGCAGTCTCAAAAACGACAGAATAATCTCTGTTCATTTCCAAGGCAAACCATTCAATATCACAGTAATCCAAGTCTGTGCCCTGACCAGTAATGCTGAAGAAGTTGAAGTTGAACGGTTCTATGAAGACTTAAAAGACCTTGTGGAACTAACACTCAAAAAATATATCCTTTTCATTATAGGGGACTGGAATACAGAAGGAGGAAGTCAAGAGATACCTGGAGTAACAAGCAAGTTTGGCCTTGGGAGTACAAAATGAAGCAGGACAAAGGCTAACAGAGTTGCCAAGAGAATGCACTGGTCATAGTAAACACCCTCTTCCAACAACACAAGAGAAGACTCTACACATGGACATCACCAGATAGTCAACACCAAAATCATATTGACTATATTCTTTGCAGCCAAAGATGGAGAAACGTTATTCAGTCAGCAAAAACAAGACTGGGAGCTGACTGTGGCTCAGATCATGAACTCCTTATTGCAGAACTCAGACTTAAATTGAATAAAGTAGGGAAAACCACTAGACCATTCAGGTATGACCTAAATCAAATCCCTTACAATTATATGGTGGAAGTGACAAACAGATTCAAGGGATTAGATCTGATAGAGTGCCTGAAGAACTATGGACGGGGTTTCATGACATTGTACAGGACACAGCGGTCAAAACCATCCCCAAGAAAAAGAAATGCAAAAAGGCAAAATGGTTTTCTGAGGAGGCCTTACAAATAGCTGAGAAGAGGAGAGAAGCAAAAGGCAAGGAGAAAAGGAAAGATATACCCATTTAAATGCAGAGTTCCAGAGAACAGCAAGGAGAGATAAGAAAGCCTTCCTCAGTGATCAGTGCAAAGAATTAGAGGAAAACAATAGAATGGGAAAGACTAGTGATCTCTTCAAGAAAATCAGAGATACCAAGGGAACATTTCATGCGAAGATGGGCACAATAAAGGACAGAAATATCCTTGATTTTTAATATCAAGGATATTTCTAATATTCTTGACCTAATATCAAGAAGAGGTGGTAAGAATACACAGAAGAGCTATACAAAAAAGGTCTTCATGACCCAGATGATCTCAATGGTGTGATCACTCACCTAGAGCCAGAGGTGCTGGAGTCCGAAGTCAAGCAGGCCTTAGGAAGCATCACTATGAACAAAGCTAGTGGCGGTGATGGAATTCCAGCTGAACTTTTTCACCTAAAAGATGATGCTGTGAAACTGCTGCACTCAATATGCCAGCAAATTTGGAAAACTCAGCAGCGGCCACAGGACTGGAAAAGGTCAAGTTTTCATTCCAGTCCCAAAGAAAGGCAATGCCAAAGAATGTTCAAACTACTGCATAATTGTACTCATTTCACACACTAGCAAAGTAATGCTCAAAATTCTCCAAGCCAGGCTTCAACAGTACATAAACCATTAACTTTCAGATGTTGAAACTGGATTTAGAAAAGGCAGAGGAACCAGAGATCAAATTGCCAACATTGGATCACAGAAAAAGCGAGAGAATTCCAGAAAAACATCTATTTCTGCTTTATTGATTATGCCAAAGCCTTTGACCATATGGATCACAACAAACTGGAAAATTCTTAAAGAGATGGGAATACGAGACCACCTGACCTCCCTCCTGAAGAAATCTGTATGCAGGTCGAGAAGCAGCAGTTAGAACTGGACATGGAACAACAGACTGCTTCCAAGTAGGGAAAGGAGTACATCAAGGTTGGATATTATCATCCTCCTTATTTAACTCATAGGCAGAGTACATCATGCGAAATGCTGGGCTGGATGAAGCACAAGCAGGAATCAAGGTTGCCGGGAGAAATATCGATAACCTCAGATATGCAGATGACACTCCCTTAGTGGCAGAAAGCTAAGAGGAACTAAAGAGCCTCTTGATGAAAGTGAAAGAGGAGAGTGAAAAAGTTGGCTTGAAGCTCAACATTCAGAAAACTAAGATCATGGCATCTGGTCCCATCACTTCATGGCAAATAGATGGGGAAACAGTGGCAGACTTTATTTTGGGGGGCTCCAAAATCACTGCAGATGGTGACTGCAGCCATGAAATTAAAAGATGCTTGCTCCTTGGAAGAAAAGTTATGGTCATAGATAGCATATTAAAAAGCAGAGACATTACTTGCCAACAAAGGTCTGTCTAGTCAGATCATGGTTTTTCCAGTAGTTGTGTATGGATGTGACAGTTGGACTATATAAAAGAAAGCTGAGCGCCAAAGAATTGATGCTTTTGAACTGTGGTGTTGGAGAAGAATCTGGAGAGTCCCTTGGACTGCAAGGAGATCAAACCAGTCAATCCAAAAGGAAACCATTCTAATTTTTCTAGGAACACACATTTAGCTTACAGCAAAGTTCAACCATATAGTGTTTACCTTGACCAAGTGAATGCTCCCTTTCATTGTGCTTCCTTCCAATATTAGAATGATCAAAAAACATGGTATTCTTAAAATACTAAAATAAAAATTCCATTTTGCCTTTCTTCTCCAGTATTCATAATTGTATTCCATTATCAGAATTCAAACAGGTGAACAAGTATAACTTTCAGTAAATGTATTCTCAGCTCCCTTTTGCTTCCTGCAATTGTCAATTGTTTATTTTCACTCTGCCCTGTTCAAAAGTATTTCAGACCATTAAGTTTTTACAAGCTGTGATGAGATAAGGTAAATTAGAATGGGGCCAAAGAAAAGGTATGGGTGGGAAACAAAGTAGAGCCAAAAAAAAGTCTAAAAATGCATACTATAGTGGTCAACACCCCTCCTGGTGGTCCAGAGATGCACAGTAAGCTTTCTAGCAGCCAACTTTCAGAAGAAAGAAGGAAATTTAAAGCTTAACAATGTCCTGAATAAAAGAACCAAATTGTGCAGGTGAATTGCAGTTATTCTTGCTTTTAAGATCAGACATAGGTTTCTCCCAAAGACCCTCAGAAAGAAGATGCAACATTTTATTTCATAGCATTTCATAACAGACATTGATTGTTTTGTTGACTGAATTATAGTGCTCTTCAATATAACCTGGTGGCATTTCATGAAATTAGATTTCAGCAAAAGCAGTTTTGCCAAAATTGAGGAGACACAACCAGTAGCAGAAAGTTGTGGTCTAGATTGCTGGCTTACTGTGATCTAATGGTATCTAGAGAAATCAGTGGGTTATTAGTTCTTCAACTGATTATTGATCTCTTGATAAACATGGGCAGTGGTCCAGACATGTACTCTATGGCTGGCTGAATATAGGCCTCTTTGTCTTAACAGTTCTCACGGCACATTTACATTTTTATCACAACCTAGGAGCCTGAAACGGCCTAACTATAAGCCCACATTTCCCCTTGTCCCGAGCAAGCAGTGAAAGTTCTTATGGGCCCAGGACTTTCCCAGAAAATCCCCTGTAATTCAGTCTAGTACCTAAAGATACTAAAAGTTGATTTCCTTAAGTTGTATTCTTTACAGCTGACTCAGTTTTAGCCTGAAAGAACATTTAGAGCAAATATCACCCCAATAAAACCTTAGTAAAGCACTCAGAATGTTAAACTACTTCCTGATATAGTATCTGAATCAAACTATTGGGTTGGCAAAAAATTTGTTAAGAGTTTTTCCATAAGATGTTATGGGAAAACCCAAATGAACTTTTTGGCTAACCCAATACATTGAAGTGACCCAAAAATGCACAGTGGGATTTGTACTTGTATATCAACTTAAATTTAAAGAACGTTGATCCAACAGACAACACTGAAATACAAAGGATCATAAGAGACTACTACCAGCAGCTCTATGCCAATAAAATGGACAACTTGGAAGAAATGGACAANAAATTTTAGGGGTGAAACAAGGACTTGAGCCTCAGATGATTTGCATCACAAAGTCATACTAATGGCAAGAGCAGTAGTTGAGAACAGAAACCCCAGAATATCTTTAATTGTTTAAAACAAACCTGACGCTCCGCAGTAATGATATCCTTTACTTAATAACACAGAAAAATTCTATTTAGAAATGTGGGTCTCTGAACTTTCAGAGAACCCATATCTTCATATAAATTTGGTTAATTCTTTCATCTTCAATCAGTGTGATTTTTGATTTAAAAAGTCAGGAGGATTTTAAAAATTCTGTGTGTGTAGACCATCTCTTTACATCCTGGTTATTTTAAGATATTTATCCTCATTCATGTTTAAATAAAACTTCAGAAAACCAAACTACCTCCCTATACTAACCCCTTTCCAAAAGCAGCCTGGTTCCATAACATTTATCAAAAGAGGATTCATAAACAGTGTCATTTATATATTACCTGGTAACAGTTTTTGTTCCTCAAAAGCAAACAAACAGACAAAAAAATAGTAAAAACTTGAGTTATCTGGAAGATTTGGGGTTAACTTTGTCCAAAGTATGAACATACACTATCTTCAAAGAACTGCAGACCCAGCTTTACCCCAGAATTGTCCTTATTTTTGTGCTACCCAACTCTGTGACCTGAATCCAGTGTGGAGTGACTCACTGTTCAGCCGTCACCC